GTCCTTTGCCCATTATTTGATTGGATTGTTTATCTTCCTTTTGTTAAGTTGTATGAGTTCCCTATAAATTTTGGAGGTTAAACCCTTATCGGAGATAACATTGGCAATATGTTCTCCCATGCAGTGGGCTTTCTTGTTGTTTTGTTGATGGTTTCTTTTGCTATGCAGAAACTTTTTATTTTGATGTAGTTCCATTTGTTTATTTTCTCCATTGCCCTAGAAGTTGTATCGGTAAAGATATTGCTATGACAAATGTCTGCTATTTTGCTATCTATGGATTCTTCTAAGATTTTTATGGTTTCCCACCTTACATTTAAGTCCTTTATCCATTTTGAGTTTATTTTTGTGTATAGTGTAAGTTGGTGTTCTAGTTTCATTTTTTTTTGCATGTATCTGTCCAATTTTCCCAACACCATTTACTGAAGAAACTGTCTTGAATCCATTGTATGCTCTTGCCTCCTTTGTCAAATATTAATTCAGTATAGTGGCTTGGGTCTATATCTGGGTTATCTGTTCTGTTCCATTGGTCTATATGTCTGTTCTTATGCCAGTACCAGGCAGTTTTGAGAACAGTGGCGTTGTAATATAGCTTGATATCTGTTATTTGTGATCCCTCCAACTTTGTTCTTTTTTCTCAAGATTGCTGCAGCTATTCGGGGTCTTTTTTTATTCCAGATGAATTTTTGGAGATTTTGTTCAAGGTCTTTGAAGTATGCTGTTGGTATTTTAATGGGGATTGCATTGACTCTATAGATTGCTTTGGGTAGTATGGACATTTTATTGATGTTGATTCTACCAATCCATGAGCATGGTATATTCTTCCACTTGTTTATGTCTTCTTCTATCTCTTTTTTCAGCATGACTAGTTCTTTATAATAAATCCTAAAAGTTGAATTCCTGGGTCAAAGAGGGTTATGTATTTTTTATTTTTATAATTATAAATGCCCTATGTAAATATTCTATCATTTTACACTCACTAATACTGGGCATAAAGCAACTTATACTGTCGTTGGGCACATGATCAAGACTAACAACAGGCAATAACTAATGAATGGTATATAACTGAAGAATAGCATGAATTATTAAGAAACAATCAAAGAAGGGTGAAGGAAAGTACAGGAGTTCTTCTTTGTTACATAAAGATTTAAAACTGTAGGCCTTTAAAAGCAAATCAGATTTTTTCTCTTTGCTTATCAAATGGGGGAATAATATTGCCACTCATAGAGAAATAAATAACTTGAATATAGGATACTGAAGAGACTAACTTACAGAAAACTAAGATGGGTGGTAATGAAAATTTGACACATATCAACAGAAAGGTAGAGCGGGCAGGAAGTGTAGCTTTCTGGTTGCATGTCCACATATTGTTAAATCATATTTTTAAACATCTATTTTTCATCATGTGAGCCTCAGAAAAGAAACTATAAACCCTTCACTATAGAGAGCAGGAAAATAGAACCGGGTTGATTGAGGTTTTACGTTCCTTGTTAATAATGCAAATTTACAATGAATTATTGTGTCATCATTACTCTGATCACCAGGAAGCTCAGAGCCAAATACTGGCATCCATTAAGGATTTTTTTCTATTACTGTTGCTTTATTTTAAACTAGTCAACCCCTGTGGGAATTAAATTTAAAATGTAAATAAATAAAATCAATAACGTTGGGGCAAATTATAAAGAACCCTGCAGTTCCAGGGGAGGATATTATGTTTATTTTGGTAAGAAATTGATTTCAAATAGAGAAGAAGAAAAAACATGAGCACAGTGTGTTTTTAGCTTATTTAACAGTATTTCCTATTCTAAGTTGCATTTGTCAATATTTCTATCTTTTAAAAAGGTATAAAGTCTCATTTTACTATGCGGCCTTTAACTCATCACTGTGCATGATGAAGCACTTAGGGAATAAAGGGAATGAAAATAATAAAGGCTTCTGATGTCTATGTTAGAGCCCTCACATTTTTATCCATTTCAGATTCACCAGAAAAATCTTCCATCCTGAATACTATTTACCCCTAGTTCAAGCATTTCTATTGACGTTCTGAATTAAACATTGTAGCAAATCGTAACTAATCTAGAATTCATAGATCCTCACCGGTTTGTTGACTCTGACTCCTCCTACTTCAGGGTGCTGTTTCCCTTCATCTGTGGGCAGTGAGTCTGCCTTCGTCACAGGGGTCCCGACTTGCTGTTCTGTTCCCCAGTGTAACTTTACAAACAGTGAGGTCCTTTCCTTGGTGGGATTGCTCCTCCGTTCCGGCAACCCACGTGTCTCCTCCTGTCAAACAGGAACCTCCAATAATCTTTCTCCAGCTGCATCCCCAGAGTCTGTTCCCTCTCCTTGGAGATCCAGCTCGATACTTGCAAAATCGGTGTGTGCTTGCACAGAACCTCAGTTATCTTTCTGTCATTCTGCAACTAAATTCTTCAGTGGTTTCACAAGGTTTGTTTCGTGTCCCAATTAAGCAATAACCTTATTGCGCATAAGATTTATACATAAATTTTTATATATTCTAACAGCTCCTATAAATAAATGCCAAATCCAATATCTTTTTCATGTTTTTAGAGCAACACAGGAAGTCTATCAGAAGCACATACAAATCCTGAGTGAAAACCTGGAAAGAGAAATTCAGAGATGGTAAAGAAAACCAGTTCCTTTGTATATGTTTTTTAGTATCTGAATGAACAGTGCCCCAAAGTAGGGAGGAAATCAGAGTACTTGTTGGTTGCTAGAATCCAAGAAACTGATTTTCTTAAGCTAAATTGTGTGAGTTCTGGATCTACATGTATGTACATAAGTGTGTATATAAATGTGTGTGTGTGTGTGTGTGTGTGCGCGCGCGCCTGCGCGTGCACATTTTTTGGCTCTGACCAGAACCAAAGTTTTCCATTTCAATCGAGTAAAGTCACAAAATAGTAAAAGTAAAATTGCCAAGATTTGTGTAATGCCTTTTGCACATCCAGGCCTCGTGGGGAGAGCAGGGGATGTGCAGGGACAGAGAAGCGGTGGGAGTACAGGCTCTGCAGAGGGGTGACCCTGATGGCTCTACCTCTAACTCACTCTGGGATCACAGCTGTTATCTCATTATCTCTCTGCTCCCATCCCTGTAAAGGGAGGAATGATAGTAGTGCCGCCCCGTCATGGTAAATGTCATGATCCGTGTAAAGTATTTGGATCAGCACCTGGCATCTAAGAAGCGCTTGGGAAAACATAACTCTATTTTTTTTATTGTTGTTGTCATTGGTAATAATATGATGTATATAAGATTGGAATGGCACATTCTGGCTCCCAATTATTTAGCTTTTCTATGTTGTGGTGGAGAGAAATTTGAGAACCTAGAAGCTTGAAATCCCTCATTAGCACTTTGGGTCATTTAGGTACTTCCATGACTCTTCTGCCTGGGCCTCTCTTTTCTTCCACTGCCCCCGAACCTTTCCCATTTCTCTCCTCGCCTAAAGGAGGCAAGCTGCCAAGTGTGGTTTGTCCCCTGTCCTATTGGATGGGCCCACTGAGCATCTTACTTTTTTTATTATTGATTTTTTTTACAGAGAGGAAGAGAGAAGGAGAGGGATAGAGAGTTAGAATATTATTGATTTTTTTTTACAGAGAGGAAGAGAGGAGAGGGATAGAGAGTTAGAAACATCGATGAGAGAGAAACATTGACTCAGCTGCTTCCTGCACACCCCCTACTGGGGATGTGCCCGCAACCAAGGTACATGCCCTTGACCGGAATCGAACCTGGAACCCTTCAGTTCGCAGGCCCACGCTCTATCCACTGAGCCAAACCGGTCAGGAAAGAGCGTCTTACTTTGAAGCAACGTGCAGATCCGGCATTGAGGCAGTCAACGTTTTGTCTTATTTTTTTTAGCTAAGGTGGAGTCTGCATCGCCAATAGTACAAACAGTTTTGTGTGATCAGAGAATTTGTTTTGTTTTGCATCCCTTCATCTTTTCAGTAGACTGTTATGTCAATTTAATGATGACATAAAATTGTCCCAATCTTTTTGTTCTAATCTCTAGTGTTCTGACTCAGTGGAAAATAGCTTGTTTGATGAAAAGACATGGACGTTGGCTACTCAAGATGAAAGAAGAATTAGACGCTATTATGGATCAAATCAAGACCGCAGAAGATAGACGCAGTGAGTTAATAGAAGAGGTAAGGAAACGCAACAGACTTAGTATTCATTTCCTATATTGCATATCAGTAATTGTCCTTCAATATTAAGTTTAACTCAAAGATATTTTCCTTTCAGCTGACTTAAAGCTTAGGGTGTAATCTTCCTAAGAAATATATCCATTTGCTGTGTATTAGCTATAGGAATTTAGCAAACAAAGTGGCAATTTTCTCCTGTGATCAGACACTTGATTGTTTTTTAGGAATTTGTTTCTAAAAATAAAGAGATCAAACATCATTTATTTAACTTCCATATTTACCCTCTGCCCACCCTCCATCATTCACTGACCCCATTCTCCATTTCCTCGTGTCATTTATAAGTACTATTTGTCAAAGAAATTAATCTCTGAAGGGGGGGAAAAAACCTTTTCAGTGGTTACTGAGAAATAATGACCTGAAATCAGAGCCAAGTCTCATGCAAAGAGATATTCATTTACCTGGTTGTTGGAAAAAATCCAAGGATGACTGCTACTAGACAAATGACAAATCTTTTTTTCCCCTCATTAGACCACTGTTACAGAAAAAGAGATCACTGAAAATTTGGTACAGATTAAAAAAGTTGCATTAGATTTAAAACAAACAGAGACGGAATTTGTCGTCAATGAAAAAAAGTTAATTCAAGAATTGAACAAGTATGAGGTAAATTTTATTTTACATCTAAGAATAATTATAGAGGGCTGTGTGCCGGGAAAGGGGTATATGTTCCATGCTCCTCTAATTAGTTAAATATAAGACTAATCTTTTAGTGTGAAGAAAACTACATTTCATTCTGAATCTTTCTTCTTTTCCTAAAAAGGAAATAGAGCAGCCAGAAATATTGTTGTACTGACTTCGGAACTGCCCAGAGCTGACCTGGGATAGACTAGGGTGTGGATGCTGGAGGAGGTGGATAAAAGGGGACCAGTAGTACCCAGGGCACCCAGAAACAACACAAACTACGCCTTCTCAAGGTGGCGGCGTGACCTTGAAAGACCAGGGTGTGTTTCTCGGAGCCCGGCATTGGTAGAGAAGTTGAGGAGAGAAGAGATGGTGGTGGGAGCCTTCCTGACTTGATTTGGTTTGAAGGGGGAAAGGGGCCCAGCAACACCAAACAGTTTGTGTTTGAAGGCAGCAGTCCCTTGCTGTAGCGATGGAGTAGGGAGCCCTTACATTTCAAAGTTTAGATCTGACCCCGGTCCAAGCCTATTCCCCCACCTCCCCGCCCCCTCAGGTACTTATTCCCTGCCACCTCATCCAGAAGCCTCTGCAGATAACTAATCCAAGAAGAGCCACTTCTAATATGAGTGACAGGCAAGAAGCAGGCTCACCTTCCACACAAAAAACGCTGTGAGAACAAACAAAAGGCGGAGCAAAGCGTCCCTGCAAATGAAGAGCACTCAGAAAAGTGACGCTGCCACAGATGAAAACGGGGATCAAACGTTCTTTCCTGAATTAAAAAAATGTAACTTCGCGGGGCTGTGCAGGAAAGTCAGCAATTCGGGAGCACAGGCACTGGGGCAGAGATGTCAGAGGGCTGGCCAGGCGTAGGGAGAGGTGACATGGCAAGCGGCACAAGGCAGGGAGCAGATGGCAGAGAGCGCGGCACAGAATGACACAGAGTCAGAGGGGATGGTGGGGAGCGGTGGGTGGGAGCACTTCTCTGTTGGTTGTACCACATCTGGGTGTGAGGTATTCTTCTAGGTCAGGGGTGGGCAAACTTTTTGACTCGAGGGCCACAATGGGTTCTTAAACTGGACCGGAGGGCCGGAACAAAAGCATGGATGGAGTGTTTGTGTGAACTAATATAAATTCAAAATAAACATCATTACATAAAAGGGTACGGTCTTTTTTTTTAGTTTTATTCATTTCAAACGGGCCGTAGTTTGCCCGCGGCTGTTCTAGATGCTAACAGAAAACAAAAAACAGCAGAGCTTGGCCTTTCAAACGCCCAGTGGGGGGAGTTTGAAAAGAAACAAGATAAACAAATAGAACATGTAGTAGATTCGATGGTGATGAATGCTATAGAGAAAAAGAAAGCAGGGACATGGGCTGGAGTGTGCGCTGTTTTGAATAGGGTAGTCAGAGAGGGCCCGCCCTGCAGGCGTGAGGGAGCTTGCTGTGGAGAAGGCTGTAGGAGGCGGTGCCGGGCAGAGGGAAGGTTGAGCATGAAGGTCTGAGGCAGCGCTGTCCTACCTGAGGAACAGAAAGGGGACAGGTAGCTGGAGCAGAAATGGGGAGACTGCAGACAATAGGAATGAATTAATGCATCCACACATCTCCTTATCTCCCCACCCCCCGCCCCGCTATTCTGTAGAGAACATAATACAGATAACACACAATTGAGTTTTTTCACACTGCAGTCTGGAGATTCTCCTGATTCTGCACTGTGACATTTTAAAATCATGGTGTTGTGTGTGTGTGTGTGTGTGTGTGTGTGTGTGTGTGTTCCTATATTTATTTATAAGGATTTTAATGGCATAAATTTAGAAGGGGACATAGGCTGGTGTATCACTGTGTTAATTAGGGTGTAAGCAAGCTGCTTGTATCAAAGAGATGCCAAAACACAGTGAACATATGCAAGGTGTATCGTGCAGGGTTAGCAAGCCTCTCTCTATTGGGAAGTGGCCCGTGGCTGAACGTGTTGGCTTCCTGCCCTGGTAGCCTGATAAAGGGCACTGGCAGCTGTAGGGTCAGGTAGCACAGCTAGTGTAGAAAGCCCCCTGGTGGGTGTGCTGCATCTTGACTGGGAGCCTTAACTGGTGGGAAATCATGACATCGGGCTCTCCTGGGGTTGGTGCCTCATTTAAGTGGGCATGTCCCTTGCGGGGACCTAGAAGGTTTGCCCAAGAGATGCTGGTCCTCTCTGAACCTGGCGCTCTAGTACCCACCCGTGCTGGTCTCTTTCCCCTCATCTGAGTTTATCTCTTTGGTGGGGTCGAAGGGCACTGGCCTCTGGTCAGCTGTGTTTTAGGGCGCCTCTTGCTGGGGAAGCATGTCTATTGCTGCCCTGCTGGCACTCAGGGATTTCTTCAAGTTACATGCAGTTACAACTTGGCTAAAAATAAAAATGGAAGTTTTTCAGAGTAAACTGGGTCAAGTTCGGCCTATTGAAACCTTAAGAGCCTGCGTATCGAGTTGAGAAGACCCACTGGTCTGGTCATGGCAGCAGCAGAGACGGTTCTTTCTCTTTCTCGGTAGAGGCTAAAGGGGAGCAGTCCCGGGCGGGAGGGGCAGGTCCACCTGCTCAGCGTATGGCTCACACCTGCGGGTCCAGGTGGCGGCTTTCATTCTCATCCTCTCCAGCCAGGGGAGGGGGGAAGGGGCCAAGGGGGCACATGCCCCTTCTTGCTGCAGGGGCGAGGCCCAGAAGTGGCACGAACCACTTCTGCTCACATACTCGTTGGTCACACCCACCTGCAAGGGAAACAGAGAAACCCCTGTAGCTGGCAGCCATATGCTCTGCTGAACTCCGGCGTCCTGAGGTTCAAGGACAGGAGAACGGATAGTGAATGTCAGCTGGCCGCCTCTGCCTTCGTCACCATTTTAAACTTATCCTGACTTTCTAGGAAAAAAAAAATTACTCCATTTGAAATGAAACAAAACCTGAGATTGAATAGTAAGCAGGCAAATTCATGCTTTGCTTTGGACACTTTGTACCCATTTGCGGTAGAACAAGCATGTCAAACTCACAGGCTAACACGGGCCAAATAAACAAGGTTTAGGTTTCTGCGGGCCGCAGAAACACAAAAGCTTCCATTTTCATAGAAATGTAGGTTTATGTCGATAGAGACATGCTGAATACAAAGGGCTGAAATAAATGAGTAATTGTTAACATAAAATAATAGAACATTTTAATAAAAATTAATACT